CAGGTGCCATTGGTGGAGCTTTGGTAAATATAAAAATAAACGTGTTGACATTTGTTTTCATGAGGGTGTATTGAAATTTAGAAATATAATTCGTTTCCTCAAACCAAGTTAGTTATATCTGTTATTGCGGTAGTGGTAGTTTTCTTTCCAAAGTAATCAGTTGAAACAGAAACATTTAAAGTCCTATTTTTGTATGATTAGGGTTAGAAGAGAATCGAAAAATTGCTCAATTAGTCATGTACATTTGATGTCATGCACTTTCTTCTTACTTCTTGCATTTAAATTCGAGACTTTATTGAGTCATTACATCGTAATACCAAAAAAAAACGATTGGTGGAACTAAAGAAGGTCAAGACTCTTTATGAGCATCAAATTTTGTATATGTGGGTTTCTGGGCTGATTCATATTTCATTTACATATTATTTTGATGTAAGTATGATTTTGTCATTTCGACAATAAGTGGGATCGCCGAACTTCGCCAATATGACTTTTGCTAATTGGCGAATGTCCATGAGGTATGGTGATGAAAGTTAGCTGGACATTCGGTAAGTCGGCAAGAACATAATAGAAACTGTATTAGAATAGGGAAGAGTCCATATTATATATAAATATAATCTGCTCTATTAATTGAGAATGTGAGGAAGTTTCGCCAATTGGCAGGAGTCCAGGACGCATATTTGCGAAGGTCCATATGACTTTCGCCAGTGGCGATAGACCGATTGGGGAGCTTCGGGGTACTCCAATAAGTTTTCAATATGATAATCTCGAATTGTTGGCACAAGACAATAATTAGTTGGAGTATCTTTGAAGCAAAATGGCGATAGAAATTCATCAAAATATAGAAGATATCTCTTTTGCAAGTTAATTCCAACAAGTAACCATGTATATGTGGCAATAGAGTTTAGAATCTAGTTGAGATTGGAATTGTCGATTATTCTATAAATGTTGTGAGAAAGTGATTCATAGAAATAAAATTTTGTTAGTGAGCATATGAGATAATTTG